CGACACCCCTAGAGCCCCCCAGCGTGGGCTGTGCCCCCCCGGGGGCGGGGGGCTGCGTCCCTGTGTCCGAAAGCAGCGCCTGCAGATCCCCGCTCTGCCCCTTGCACAGGAGCTGGCCTCGGGGCTGCTCACGCTCCCGCCACTTCTTGCCACATCCTCTACTGCTCCCACCCCAGCTCCAACACTGTTTTCGCTTCCCCCAGCTCAAAACCACATCCCTGCTATTTCAAGGGAAAAAAATGCCACCCCCAGGTCACCCCCAAAACCAAGAGGCACCAGCTCCGATTCCTGGTAAAAAGATTTATTAAGAACCTGCACTACCTGCTCGAAAGGAGGATGCCCCCCTGGCCCGGCGCTGCAAGGTGGCAGGGCGTGGGGTGAGAGGGTTAACGCTTCTCCAGGCAAAACAAACCTGGGTTGGACCCAGCAGCAGGATGAAACTGAGTCGAGGGCACAGAAAGGTGGTGGGAGCACGCCTGCGTGGCAGAGCACCTCCCGCCAGGGAGCCCGGCAGTAGTTAAGGCGTATAAAGTGCTTGGAAGAAGACCAGCCCTACGGAGGGGCTAAATAATGCGAGCAGGCAGGGACGGGGAGGCAGCGAGGGATGCGGGGGGCTGGCGGGTCACCCGCACCCTGCGGTGACCTGGCGTGGGTGGGTGGTGTCAGACATGCCCCTGCCTGGAGCAGCAGGCAGGAAGGACGCTGCCTGCCCATGCCTCGGCCCCCAGCCACAACCAGGAGACGGACTGCAAGGCCCCCAAATAGAACCCAGGCTGCTGGTCTTCATGGTCACCTCCCAGTCTACCTCATGTCCTGGATGCTGCTCCACATGCCGGGGGTGCCTCTGCTGGTGCACGGCAAAGATGGTCCCAGCGCAGCGTCCTGCCTCGGCTCAGTGGCAAAACGAGATGAGTGGGACTTGTCCTTGGCCAGGCTGTGCCCCAGCTGCTCGTCACAGCCGTGTGTCCCCCCAGACCGAGCGCAGCCCATGTCCAGCCACCTCTCCTGCTGCTGGGAGCAGCACCAGCCGCTTGGTCCTTCATGAGTGGGAACATCAGTCGGGGGTTTGGGCGGTTTCAGTCCTGTTGTGCTTGCGATGTTTTCTATAGTGGGAACACAGGGAGGTGCCCTCACCGGTGCCTTGTGTCACCAAGCTGGTCCCACGCGCAGAACAGGGATGTGCTAAAGGCAGGCCCAGAGCTGCCGCGAGGGGACAGGTCTCCTGCAGCCACTTTGGGGATGCTTCTGCAAAACAGCCTGTACTCCAGCTGGAGGTGGCGAGGGCAAGCGGGGACATTCTCCGCAGCTAATCCTGCATGCCTCCAGCCTGCCCCAGAAACGTTCCCTCACCCCATGGACTGCTTCAAGAAATATTGCTTTTCCCTGGAATGTTTTTTAAAATTCCCTGGATGGGATTAAGGAAAAAAAAAAAAACAAAGAGAAACTAGGTAAAAAGTAACTACCCCCAAGTTACGCTGAAAGGCTGGGATTAGCTCCATGGCCACCCTGTCTGGGGCAGGGGACACCCTGGTGATGGGGACAGCGGGACAGCTGGGGGGACCCTTCTGTGTGTAGCAGGGGAGGGGAGCACCGAGCTGGGGTAGGGGCTGCCTCCTCCTGGCAGCGGGAGGGATGCAGCTGGCAGGGACGGAATGGGGTGCAACCGGATGGGATGGGACAGGGGACCAAGGTAATGGGGAGAGGAAGGACGGGCCGCCCCCACCCCTCACTGGGACTGCAGGGAGAAGGCCAGCTTGATGCAGGCAAGCTCCTCCCCGCCATTGCTGACAGCTGCCCGGACACGGTAGTTGCCGTTGGTCATCCAGGCAGGCAGCTCCACGTCAGGCAGGACGAAGTCGCTGTCTGGCAGGGAGTAGAAGCCCTGCGGAGAGAGGGGACATGTAGGCAAGACGCCAGCCAAACCCCCCCAACCCCTCGCGGAAAGGCACAGCAGTACCCGGCAGCGCTGCTGGCATTGCACCGGCCAGGGGGTTCAGGCGTACCGCTTTGAAGGGGCAGTGGCAGGGGATGCCGTAAGTGAGCAGGGGCTCCGGGCAGGGGGTGCCAGGCGGGATGAGGTTGTCGAGGATGGCACAGGCGTCGTCGTAGGTGCAGCTGCCCAGCTGGTCGATGCAGGGCAGCTGGATCCAGAGGTCACCCAGCGCCTTCTCCACCAGCAGCACCACCTGGAGGGAAGGTGTTTGGCACTGGTACAGCCGGCACAGGCACCCATGGCTCCTCCAGCCCGCGGCCCCCGCTTCTCCTCCCAGCCTGTCCCCCCTGCCCCCTCCCCAGCCATCTCCCTCGGCTCCTGCTCGTGCAATTCTCTGGGGTATCCCTGGGGCCACCGCACGCCCTCCCACCTCTTCCTCGTGCTTTCGGTTCCTCTCTGCCTGCAGGTTTCTCTTCCTCCAACCTCAGCTTGACCCCTCGAGCAAACACCTCCCAGCACCCCACGCACCCACTCCTTTCCCTCTCCTCAGCACCCTGTCCCAAAACTGTCCAGCAGCTCCCATCCCACAGCTCTGCCTCCACGCTCCCCTGGCACGCTCCCCACAGCCCCAGCCCCAAACAGGCAGGGCGGCATTGCTCAAGACAGCCCATGCACTTCAGGCAGACAGACATGTTCAGTCTCATCCTAAAAAGTCCCCAAAAAGTGGTGCAGGGCGGCTGGGCCAGCTCAGGGCTCCTACAGCGGTGCTGTGGCACGTCCCTGGAGGAAGCAGCCAGGTCTGGCTGCTGAAAAACGATGGCTGCAGCGGCTGCTGGGAACACCCAGGGCACTTGGGATTTCATTTCCCTCCCCGAGTCATTACATCCCCAGGACACAACACAGCTCAGGTGGTTTCTCCCACTGGGACAAGGTTGGGAGCTTCCCGCTGGGCTGTCTGCTCCCACGGCGGGTCTCCCCGTGCCCATCACCCTGTTCTGGCTTACAGAGCCTGGTGCGCTCAGCCCTGCACCGCTCCATGCTTCGCTCCCCCAAGGGCTGCTCGTTCCCGTACCCACTGCTGGGCACTTCCCAGCTGCCGGTGGTTTCAGGAAGCTCTGCCCTCCCTCGTCCCGCAGAGGCATCTCCGGCACGTACCTTTACAGGGGAGGCCACGGTCTTGTTGCTGTTGACAGCCGCGCTGACGCGCAGGCTCCCCGGGATGCTGATGGGGTCGGGCGCCACGGAGAGGCTCTGCAGCACCACGGGGTCCCTCTTGTCACCGCAGTTCTCCCAGGCAAAGCCACCAACCTGTGGCACCAAGGGATGGGAGG